TTTTTTTAACAGTTTTAAAAGCATTTTTTTCTTTGGTTATGCAAACGTTAGAGAAAACATTAAGCAAGCGTTCCATGTTTTTCATTACGCAAACATTTCCGGAACGTTACTTTTGAACTTTCTCGGAACGTTCTAAAACAAGACGTGAGTCGTAACACTTAAAAAACATTAGACAAACATACAACTAACGTTTCGGGGGGAAACCGTTATATCAACAATTTATAAATAAATTGTGCAAACGTTTTGAGAACGTTATTAAAAATAAATAATGATATGTCTATGGATAACGTCTACCGTGCATTATCTGATGCTCAAAGTATGTGTCTTGTCTAAACAACTATTTATAAATTAATAATAAAAGATAAGACAAATTATGTCAAATCTACCTGCAGTATATGTGACTGGAGGCCACGCAGTTATGAGTGTGAGCGCATCACGGATCCGCCTGACGGAAGTCTTTAAATCCTACTACGGCCGAGGTGTCGCTCATGTATATTAATTAGTTTATGCTGACGTCGAGGCGTTGCCTTCCAATGGTGAACGCGGTTGAATAATATATGCTGACGTTGCCTGGTAACCTTCCAATGCTGACGGTTTAACTCATGAATATTAAGTACCGAGCCGTCAACGTACTAGCGTTAGTAATTTCGCACCCGGCCCACCACGCACGTATATATATATATATACCGGGGGAAAACGAGATATTCTGACCTGGGAATGGACAGCGGAATGCACAGTCGTCGTTAAAGAATCGGATTTGCTGGACTAAACGCGAAGGAATTATTTAAACTGGATTGAAAACCAACGCAAACCCGTAGGCTCGGTCCAGCCCGGTACTGGTTCGCCTCTCCAGTGACTCACGGAGCTCGGGCCGCTGACGGAGCATTGCTGACCGGTCGGATAAATCTACGGAAGGGCCGGACCGTCACCGACGGGATTTCAGCATGAAGTTCAAACCGAACCAGACGCGGACGTTCGACCGGGAAGGATTCAAGCGGCGAGCGGCGTGTCTGTGCTTCAAAAACGAACGGGAGGATGAGGTACGGAGATATTATCTAAACCGGGCATGATGCTCGGATGATAAATCAGTGTATCAACACTCACTGACACTTTTACCTGAGGCCCAGTCAGAATATAAGTGAGCATACAGATATTTGGAGAGTGTATATGTATATAACGTTCT